TTGGTCACTTACCAAAGATGTGCCATTGTAAAGGGTCTCAGCCTTGAGAGGCTCAAGGGAAGATCACTGCTATGCAGCCAGGCTGTTTAGCTGGGCTTTGAGCTCAAAGAAAACTCACTTCATCTGTCATATATATGGAACACAGTGGTTGGCTTTTAGTGAAATTACATGCAGTGGGAGAGGTGTGCATGAGATTTCTTGTACCCACCGCCTTCTTTGTTCCTTGATAAATGTGTCTTGGAAAAGCCACCTGCTATTCATGTGTGAATCACTTGATCAGTGTTCCAAGGGCATATGCACCAGTGCTGTCTTGTGTCACTCTGCTCCTTTGTGGGTTTTCAGAGAACACATGGGAACTAGAGGAGTTCTTGGCCAAGCTATGGCCCAGGCCATGACCTCTGCTGTTAGTTTCGTCATGGGGCTGAGTGCACCCGTCAAGCACCCATTACTGTGCTGGAATGTGCATGGAGCCCAAGGGTTTGCATCCAGAATGCCAGAATGCAACAGAAGTGAAAAGCTGTTATGCAGCTTGAAATACATACTGTAAGAAAGGTAATAAGCTGATTCAGATGGTGTCTGGTATGTCTAGAAGTTTGCTGTCCCAGAGACACATTGTGCATTTTGAGCTGCCACCATATTTTCCATAAAAGATGGTGCGTTGAGCCCTGACTGTTAAGATGTGGGACATGTCTAAAGTGTAGATGTGATCTCCTTAAAGCTACAGGAACAGAAGCGACCATCAAAAATGAAGAAAAATTTCTAGTGGCTCCTGTGGCAAATGGCAAATGAAGCTCCAAGTGCTGCATTGCTTAAAGAGGAGGAGAATATTGGTGCTTTTGCACTGCTAGAAAGTGTACTAGAAAGGCCAGATGAGCAAGAAGTTTTCAGAGGTTAAGGAATCCTTCTTACTCCCCTGTCATACTGCATTTGCTTGAATTTTCTTTTTCCTGAGCTTTACAATAGAGAATAAGATAATCATGGTTTTTTTGCCTAATTATATAATTAGTTAAATTTGATATTATGTCCAATAAATAGAAAAATTATTTAAGGGGTATGTTCTTGAAATGAAAATCAGTTCTTTCCATAATATTTTGAACATTTTTTTAAGTTGTAGGCACTGCTAAATAATGATTTTTCATCTTTAAACAAAAATATACTTTTAATGTAATTATCTAGTGCTAAAGACTGTTTTGAATTAAGCCTTTTTACTAGCATTTGCAGTAGTTGAAATTGTGTATATGTAATGATTGGGGAAAAAGTGAATTTAAACCATGCTTCAGTAGATTACAATTGGTTTTAGGTTTTTTTTAACATGTTATCGCACCTTTGAATGAGTTGAGCTTTATCCATCAGAAACTGAAGGTGTGGTTCATTCCAAAAATATTTAGGAGGATTCTAAATAACCTGAGTTGAAAAAGTTTCTCCAAGTGGATATATGTGGCTCATTGAAACCTGTATTTGAACTATCTGTTTTCTTCAGAATGCATTTTATTTGTTAATAGAGCATTCCTTTTTAGTGTTTGATAATTTGTTAGCAGTGAGTAAAACAGACAGTTGATGTTGATTTGTGGATTCAATAAACTGGTAATGATACTGGAAGTTCAGATGCTGACTGACAACAGCATCAGTCCCAGATGTCTTTGAGGAAGTCTGGAAAATGTTGGTAAGTAGCAGGAAATGCTTCATTAAAGTTCTGTGAAAATATTTCTGAATAATGTGTGGATTTCCAAAAGATCATGGCTGATCTGCCAAATCTAGGTCCATGCAGAATTAGATTTCTTTGTGCCCACAATAACTTGTTCTGGTATTTTATACTTTACACTCAAACCTCTTAATATTTTTTCCTCTCCAATTCCCCCCTAGTGTTGGGAGACTTGAGATAACATTTTAACATAGTAAGTTTTTGAATGATTATTTAATTAGAACGAAGTCTAATGATCAATTGATGATCAGGAATGAAGCAGTAAGAACCAGAGATTTAGTGAATGTACTTAATTAGTATTTTGCTTTAAAGATAAATATCAATAAAAATATTTTTCCTCATGGGGATGATTTTGCTGTTTATATAATCGTTCAAAGCTCTGAAACCAAGCAGATGAATCTCAAGAAGTCTAACTGAAGCAAAGAATTTTACATTCAACGTGGAGTGTACCATATGTCTTTCAGGAGCAGGATTAATGAGACTTAATAACTTTTTAATGCATCTTAGTGTTTTAAATTTGTGACACATTTGATACATTCCTAATATAATTTCTATTCTCTTATGGTTTTCTGCTGCAAACAACATCTTGCATATGAAACAGTTTTGTTAAAATGCTATTATTGCTTTTTAATTATCTTAAATGCAAGCAGTTAATTTTAAAGGTGATGTTACTTTTTTTCCCAACCCCCTCAGGAGAAAAAATGATCAATTTCCACGCAAATAAGAGTAGTACAGTAAAAGCTTTAGGTCCAGTGGACTCTTTAGCAGAGCAAACCATGTTTTCCGTATTCTTATTCACACCTTGGGTTTATATATTAAGTACTTCCCTTATATATATCCACTGTAACTTGAAAAATAATTACCTTGGAATAATTGTTTTAAAATATAATAAAAATACAGTTTGTGACCCAAAACACATCAGAAGGGAAAATTGTAGAGTCAGGGACACATGCAGGTTGCATTTTCTTTTTGCACTTACCTATTGCTTTGACATCTAACATGAATGTGCCATTATTTTGTGAATATTATGTGCACCAAGTGTTAGAATAGTGCTTCCCTTCCCTGGTTAAGTGGTTAAAAAATGGAATGGGTCTTCCCTGGGAAAAAGTCTCTTGGAATATCAACTTCAGAATCACAAATAAATTTTGAATTAGTATGGCTCATAGATCAAGGAAAGTGCTAGCAGCTTTACAGCCCTTTCGTTCAGGATTAATCTTTTGGAATAATAAGACTGGAAGAAGGTAAGCAAAGGTGAATGATATGCTTATGTTCTTACAGTGTGTCTTTTTCAGGTTTGGAGTTGGGGTTTTTTTAAGGTTTTTGTTTTTTTGTTTTTTTGTTTTTGTTTTTTTACAAGGCTGGCCAGTTATATTAGCAAGACATTGGGTTGTGTAATCTTGCATGAATATGAGATTTCAGGTGGGGTGGGGAGTGTCTATAAATATTCTTAATTTCTCACTGTCTTCTGCATTTGCTTTCTCTTGTTGGGTATGCAGGCTAATGTGATGGAAGATTAAGTATTGTTTACGAACAGTACAAAGTAGCTGTTTGAAGTCACCTTTTTTACCACTGAAGCTGTTAGGGGAACGAATCATTTGTAATTTCAGACTGTTAAAACAACCAGAGTTTTAACTTCTGTTATATCCTCGTACCTGTTTGTGTTGATAAGTTTTATTGCTGAATGGAATTTCGACTATTAGTTGTTTTGAAATGAGATTCAATGTTTGTGTAGCCTGAAGAAATTAATATAAGCATTAATTGACAGTAACTATATCAGGTCCCATTATGGGTAAGAATTTAACCTTAGACATTATGTTTACATAGAAGGGAATGTATCATGGTACAGAAAGAGCATAACGTGATTAGCATATATTGGTGATGGGGTTTTTTTAAATAATCTCTTTGGACAAATACTTTTAGGTTTAATCTGCAGCTCTTCTGAAAAATAGCAGTTGGGGTATCTGTTGAAAAATACATTTTATAAGTAACCACATTTTAAAATATGCTACAAGAGAACATGCATTGACAAGCACTAAAAATTTTAGAATTAATTTCTCTCGATCTGCTTGCATCTCTGCTCAGCTTTTCAGCTCCTCTGCTACGCCACTTTTCTGTATTTTGAAAGTGAAGCACAGTAGTGTTTTATAATACTTGGTTATTGGTTATTTTATAATAATTGGTTATTAGGTAAACCATCTTCTAACATGAAATAGTACCTGGAGTCATCTCCATTCACAAAATCACATATGATTTCACAGTTCTTGGTGACTGTAATGACTGTGTGAAAATGCACGTTTAATTCCCAGTTCATACGTCTGACTGAAGAGAGCAGGCAGTCAGAAAGGTGATGGTTCTGTTTCAGCTTTGTGGTTTCTCATCTGTTCCTTGCATTTCAGCTGTGCTTGTGATGTTGGTATGGCACCCAAGCAGCTCCCAGCAGCTGAACCATGCAGCGTGGGGGGCCTTGATTATCTCCTTCTGCTGCAGAAGACAGGTGGTTATCCCTGAGTTATCCTTGCAGTGGCATGATGTAGTTTTAATCCCTGCCCAACAGTGCTGCACTGTCAGCTTTTTGTAGGTTGCATCTTGTAGAGAAACAGTTTCATGGGGCTTGGTACTATAAATGAGCTATGTGCAGGCCACATACAGTGTCTGGAAAGATCAACCTTGCCCTTCTAAAAGAAGAGATGAAAACAAGCATTCTTGAAGAATGGAAAGTTTTTACAGAATGCTGGAGCTGATTTAATTGTTGTTGTAATTTGCCTTGTCATATCTTAAAGTACGAGTATTTGGGAGGGGCTTTTCTATACTGGCCTTTGATTTTACATGGGGAATCCAATATTGTCTCCAGTATTGTATCTACAGTAGTAGAAAGAGCTCTGTATCTTCAACTCAATCTTCTCGATTGTTAATATTTATTGTTTCTTTAGGTTTTTGGGGTTTTACTGGTTTTTTTGTTTTTGTTTTTTTTCTTTTTTTCCTCCTGGATTTCTGTCGCATTGTGGGTAAATTCTGAATTCGCTGCTGTTAATTCAAAGTTTATCTAGTCTAGCTATTGTAAATTTATGCATAAATACTTGTAAAACTACTTAGTTTAAGTACTTACTCATTGTGGAAACTTGGTTTCAATGTGATCACCCTTTTCTTTATGAAAAACATAACAAACTTGGCTTGTATAACTTTCATATAAAGCCCTCTTATGTAGAAGCAAAATACTAGTTTTATTCCCTTATACAGGGATTGTTTTGTATTTGTGTCCATGTCTAACTGTTTCTTTTCTCTTCTTTTACTTTAAAAGGTATTTCTCAAGAGTGACCGGGTTGCAAGAATGGTCCACAGTGGAGGATGTTCTGCAAGTGACTTTAGAGATGTTTTTAAGAAAAACATAGAAAAGAGAGTCCGAAGTTTGCCGGAAATTGATGGATTAAGCAAAGAGACAGTATTAAGTTCTTGGTTAGCCAAATACGATGCCATATACAGGGGAGAAGAGGACTTGTGCAAACAGCCAAATAGAATGGCCTTAAGTGCTGTATCAGAGCTGATTCTGAGCAAGGAACAGCTTTATGAAATGTTTCAGCAGATTCTAGGGATCAAAAAATTGGAACACCAGTTGATTTATAATGCCTGCCAAGTAAGTATTGGTGTCATTCGGTTTGTGTCCAGAATATTTCCCTTCTGTCAGCGGGTCCAGTGCTTCCTCCCTGTGTGTAGAATCCCTCAATTTTTAGGTACATCTCTGCAGCCAAGGAGATGAGACGGCTCAGCAAGGAATCTTTGCATGATCTGATTGGGGCTGAGCACTTGGATAAAGGGTATGCAGGGTATATGCTACAGGGGTCCCCTTTTACAGTGTCACAGCTCACACAGTTTGAGTGATTCTGAGGAATGTGCTGTGGTCTGACATTTGCATACCCTCTGATAAATGGCATATGCATGCACATACATTTCTGAGCCTGTGTTTTAATCTTTGAAAGAAATTTGCTGCCATAAATAGATGACAGGTGATTCAGGCTGCTGTTGGACATCCAGTGTCTAGAAGGTTTGCATGTTAGAACTAAATGCTCTTCAATTCAAGCATCCTCTACAAAGCTAATTTTCACATTTCTGCATTGTTGTTTTGTTGGATAAATTATTTTTCCTGTAAATTACTGAGGCCAAGACAGTCCATTCAACAGTCATATTTAGATTTATGTGTATAATCTCTTGCTAATCAGTAATATAGTTGATATGTAAAAATATTTTATTTTCCAGTGTCCATAGCGATAGAAGTGTAAATTAACAGTTACATAAGGAGGAGAAACCTGAAAAAAAGAAGGTATTTTTGCAAGTCTCACAACCAAGCAGCGCTGATGAAGCATTTAAACTGAGCTCACACAGCTTCTTACACTGTCTATAAAATAGTCAACCAGATTACAGCTAAAATGTTTTTCATATATTATGCAGAAGGGTGGTTTGTAGTTATGGGCCATCTTAATATAGGAACAAATTATATGTGTTAGTGTAGCATGAAATCATGTATCTGTTACATGATGGAAACATCTGCAGTATGTAACACTTCTGCTGCATCAAATTATGAGCAGTGTTTTGAATTAAAAGAAATAGAAAGTATTCCTTTTTTTTTCCCCCCGTTTGTCCCCTCTTTTTTTCTTTTTGCCTCTAAATTCACATTCATGTAAATCACTAAGCCTCTGGGATACGTGGGTTGGTAATAAGATGAAGAAGCATTGAAATCTGGGGGAATAATTCTGCTTAATTTTGGGAGGGTTTTATGTACAATAGAACATAGAGGCATGAGAGGCAGCTTGGATAAGTCCTCAGGAGGTCATTCAGTCCAGCTTCCTGCTCAAAGTGCGGTCAGCTTAAAAGCAGGGTCAGCTGTGAGGACACACCAGGTTACTGAGGGCTTTACCAGGCAGGTCTTAAAACTTCTAAGAATGGAGTGGAGACAGACTGCAAACCTTCTGGGAAACCTGTTCCATTATCTGAAAACATGAAAAAAACTATTTTTTGCCAAGTAGATAACTTGTTACTTATAGTAGAAATTCCATATGGATTCTTCTCTCCTCTGGTGTCTGGTGATTGCTAAATCTTGCTTTATGCATTGCTGTGGGTGGTCAAAATCTGCTGTTAGACTGCATTGGGCTAGAGGAACAGAAACAGGTGTGGCCTGTAGAACTCTGAACAATTAAACAAGAAAATTGTTCCATTAGTCTAGAAGTGGTTTTGATGATACATCCACTAGGTTATTGTATCTATTTTGATTTGTATCTGTATAAAATTTGATGGACCAAAACTGTTTGGCAAATATCAACAATTTCCCATCTTAAATTCTTGGTCCATAACCCATGGAGACTGAAACATCCCAGTGGCTAATTTTCATCTAACATGGTAGAATTGTGAGCATGTCTTTTCTCTTCTTTTACTTGCAAAGTAAAGAGAAAATAACCTTGTTGTGGATAAGAAGGGAGAAAGATTGAGCACCCTGATGTGTGCAAAGATGACTCAATGGGATTAAGAGAAGTCACTTCTCTTGCTCTTGCTGCTTTTGAACACTGGAAATTGTAAAATCTCTGTGCAGGTCTCTGAAGTGTTTATCCTGGATTCATGTAAGTATTGGAGGATGAGAAGTGATGAAAATCTACCTCTTCAGGAGCAGATACATGAGCACCTATGTACTTCAAACTGGAGAGAATGGAGAGGGAAAGGCTTCAAGGCTATACCCTTGTTTGGGGTTCTAGCTGTCTGCAGATTTTAGTTTTCTGAGGCAAGGATGAGGTTACTTTGCTAAAGCAAAAACTTTCATTATGTACTCCAACAGAGTTGCTTCCAAGAACAATTTTCATATCCTGTTCCTGTGGTCCAGTCAAGCACATAATAGACCAAAGTTATGAGGAGAAGTCTGTTGCAAAGAAAAAGACAACAGCTATACCTAATCGTGCCAAGAAGTGTGGTGTAGACAGCAACCAGTCTCTGATAATGTAATACCTTTATTCCTTTGGCAAAATCCCTTATTTCTCATTATAGTTTTAATAATATTTTAGTTTAGGCTGTATCTTATTCCTTTCTATTGACAGTGAATAGAAGATGAGATGAATTTAGACTCCTATTTCAGTCAGCACCAGCAGTTTTCATTCTGCCCTAGAAGCCTCTATCCGTCTTTGTATGGAAATGCTCACTTTCATTTCCCTTCGCTGCTGCTGTTTAGAATACTAGAGACATACAGATAATGATAATCAATAGTGTCTGGGAGCAGTGAGATAAGTCCAAGTCCAAATAGATGTTAAAATTGTATTTTTGATAGAGGTTTTGATTAGTTTGGCTTCCAGCCTGTGCTTCTAGAAGAGAATCAGATATATGAAATTCTGTATATCTTCCAGCTCTGACAAAGAGCTGCCCTTAAAAGAAAATCTGTACAGTTATAATTTGTGCTGTTCTTTCTTTCCCCCCCTTTTTTTTTTTTTTTTAATACCTTTCAGTACTTTGGAAATAGGAAACAGAAAAATGTCTTACAATGTTGATGATAAGAGTAAATTATCCTGCACCTCCAGGGCTGCTAAGCAGACAGGGGTGCTCTGTATAACCATAGGAGGTATTGTCTGCCAGCCTCCTCCTTGTGACTTCTTCAGCATTTAGAAACTTCTTTATTTTCAGCAGCTTCTGCTCCCCAGCCTGTTCAAAACAGAGCAGTCCCTTCAACTCTTAAACCATTGGTATCAACAGGTCTGCTGGGGTGTGGATTCCTGTGGGTCCAGACTGGTTGCCTTCGTGTGATAGCAGTGAGAGCCAGTGTTCATTCAACAGCAGAAAAACCTAATCAGAAATAAAGTGAACAATAATACATCAACTGTCTTGATGCCTTGAGAGGCTGACGGAGAAGAGAGGCTACACAGAGTTAAGAATAAAGTAGGTGTTTATTGAAAGGCCTTAAAGAATACACCTTGGGCAGTACAGGAGCCTGGCCAAGGCTACACCCAGGATGGACCCAAAAATGGTTACAAAATGGATCACTGGTCATGAGGTCTCACATTTTTATAAGTTTTGGTCCATCTGCATATTGGGGTTAATTGTCCAATCACTACTTCAGGTTATGAAGTCACATCCTTGTTTTCTCTCTTCAGTCCACTCTTGTTTAAGATTTTGGGCCTGAAACTTGTAACAATTTTCCTTGGTCTCAAGCTAGAAAAGGAATTGTTTTGTCTGCCTACTCTGTGAAGAGAGCTCACTAACACTTAATATGAAGCTCAAAACTACACTGCTAGGTAGCACAGAATATCAAAAATACAAAAGCTAAAACTTAAGTCATCACTCTGACACTGTCAAACAGAATCCACATAGCTATAAGAACTTCTTGCATTTCTCTTTGAAGAAATAACTTTTTTTCACAATCTTAACATACACCAAATGCCTAAATTTGTACATAGGTAGTGAACGTTAACAAGATGTTCACATTAGGATGCTGAAGACTTCTGTGATCTTGTTTTCAACTTCACAGTTCAGAGAAAAGCCAGCAACTGCTGTCAACCACCCACATCTCTTTGTGATTAAAAGATTCAATTTTGTAAATGTTAAGACTTTCACCTGATTTTTATTTACATTGTGTTGCCTCAAGCTGTGTTGCATGATAAAGAAATTATTTCCAGTTATCAGGGACTTAATGAGCTCCTTGACTTGCATTTGAGATGCTTGGCCAGCCTGTTTCAATTTCTGTGATTTACAGAGATCAAACATGATACTTTTATCCTTTTTCTTTCATTTTTTTTTTTTTAATTATTCACTGATATAGAAGGTAACTTTGCAGTAAGTCAGACTGAAAATCAAACTCAGACTGGTTTGTGATCATACACTCTTATTACACCACTTCATCAGTACCAGAATATTTTTTTGGCAGGTAAATTGTAACTCCACACAGAAGTTTATTTTATTTTGAAATTGCCTTTAATGGGTTGCCTTTTTTGACTGATCTAAATCCCCTTCTTGAGTTCCCAGAGGAGAGAACAGCACTTTTCATAATGAAAGAATGCAAATTGCATTGTTTTCTAACAAGCAATAAATATTTTTTAGTATAATGTAACCGTTTTTAAGAAGAATTATTTCTTAAGTATTTTATACTTGGCAGTTTTGGGAATCAGCCAAAAACTAATTCTTTTGGAAACAGCTTTAGATGGTACTTTGCTACAAGATATAACTATCTGCTTGAAATCCTTGTATTCTGTCTGATCCTTGATTATCTTTAGCTGTTGCAAGATATAACTGTATAAGTGTCTAATATTGGTAACAATGGATTATATTGTATCTTCCATAATAAATATTTTTATTTTTAATTCTAAGACTAGTTTCTGTCAAGAATTTCTTCTGACTGAAGTCTGCTTGTGGTGTTCAGTACAACTGGAGTCTTTCACCCAGCACTTTTCTGAAGCCCAGTTAATTATGCAGTTTTGGAAATAAGTCAGATTAAGGGCAATTTACTTTGCAGCAAGGCCTTTGTGACTTTTGCTTGTTTTTAGTTCTGATCCTTTCCTTGGTAAAATGATGAGAAATAATGCAGTTATTTCACAGATCACAGAATTTCCCATGCTTCTGGATATTTTCTGTACAAACTTTCATACCCTATATAATTTATGAGGACAAGTG